ACATACAGGTGCGCATGTGTGCATTACATATGTACATACAGGTGTGCATGTGTGCAAACAGACTGCTCACTCCAGTGGCCCAGACCTGAGTAATCACACAAAAACTATATTAATTACAGCACTGTTTGGCCAACAGCTCAAGCGTGTTCCTAGTTAGTTCTTATATCTTAAATTAACCTATTCCTATTAATCTATGTATTGCCACAAGGCCGTGGCCTATGGTAAGGTTTCGGCAGTTACATGGCACCTCCTTGTCTCTGGCTACTCTCTATATACATTTATTCCTGCTGGACTAAATTCTGCTAAGCCATTGGTTAAAACAGCTTTTTTCATCAACTAATAAAAGCAACATACATACAGAAGGACATCCCACATCATATGTGTGTATCTATACACATGTATGTGGGTGCCATGAAGGTCAGATGAGGGAGTCAGATCCTCTGGAGCTAGAGTTACAAGTGTTTTGTGAACGACCTGGTATGGATGCTGGGAAGTGAGCCTCAGTCTTCCAAAAGACCAACAAGTGATCTTTCTGCTGAGCCGTCTCTCTCCAGAGAGAGAGGTAGGGGAGAGAGAGAGAGAGAAAGAAAGAACTGATACTGTTGACTCAGTGACACAATGGGTTAGGGATACAGCTCAGTGGGGAGTACTTGCCTAAGGTGAGTAAGCTGGGTTCCAACTCCAGCAATACAAGAAAACAATTAATTAAAGTTAAAATATTGTATAAACTTAATTTCAGGATGAGAGTAATATATATATGAATGAAATATGGATTGCCTTTCAATTTGGACCCCAGAATATCTCAAAGTATTCATGAAAACACTCCAAAATCTGAACTCTCAAAACTAAAACCACTCTAGTGCCAAGCTTTTTTTTTTTAAAGACAGGGTCTCATGTAGACTAGGTTGGACAAACTCTACCATATATAGGCAAGGCTGGTCTTGAACTTCTGATCCCCTTACCACCACCTCGCAGTGCCGGGATTTATAGGTGCGTGGCACCATGCGGGGATTTATGAAGGTCCAAGGCTTCATGTATGTTATGTCACCTACCAGATGATCCACAGATCCCAGGCCTTGGTGTGATCCTTCTGTCTCTGACTCTTTGGCATATCCACCTGTGTGTGCCACCATAACCAGCCCAAGCGTTCTGGATAAGGGTTTTCATCCTGTAGCCTGCAAAGGCAGCCAGGACTAGAACCTGGCTGGTGCTACTCTATCTTACAGCCTCCCGAAGATGGCAGGCCAAGGGAAATGAGCATATTTCATAAAAAATAAAATCCAAGGAAAGCAGCAGAAAGGGTCCCTGCACTTCTGTGCTAGTGAAGGACATAGGAAACAGGGAAAGTTGGGGAACCGCAAGATGGTTTGGTGGGTAAAGTATTTGCCACATGAAGCTGATGACCTGTGTATGTGACAGAACCCAAATAAAGGTAGGAACCAACTACCTGCAAGTCATCTTCCACATGAGTACTGTGTCACATGTGTGCATATCCCACACACACAGAATAAAGTCATTTTTAAAAATGGGGCAGATGGCCAGAGAGCAGATGGACAGAGGGACAGGAAGGGAGACAGGACTGCAGACTAGAGGAGCATCAGACACAAAAGTCCTATGGTAGGGCCCTTTAAACTGGCATGTCAAGTTGAGTCAAGGGGAGGAAATGATGTATATAGAAACTGGTCCCTCTCACTGTCTCATTGGTGGAGGGAGTGACCTATAGTGGTCTTTACTGATCTGGGCAGTACTTCCGGGTCTCAGGACTAGACATTGCTCCTCACACTTCAGTCCAGTGATATCTTCCAGGGTGGCATCAATGAAAACAGCAAGCACCTGGGGACATCCAACCACAATCCCAGCTATCATGACCAGGCCAAAGTCCAAATGTCTGTGCGATGCACAAAGCCAGGTGTCACCACTGTCATCTCTCTTGAAGTCACCCTTTCCCTCCATATTTTTATTCCTTTTTTGTATGTTGTACACATGTGCACACATGTGTCTGTGTGGGAGTGTGTGCTGTATGTGCATGTGTGAATGCGCACACATATCATATGAAGGTTGATGTCGAGAATTATCCTCAGTCTGTCCCCACCTTATTCACTGAGGCAGGCTCTCTCAATCAAATGCAGAGCTCATGGACATAGTCTGGCTAGCCAGCTTGCTCTGGGGATCCTGTGTCTACCTCCTGAGGCTGTAATTACCAGCAACTGCCACACCTACCTGACATTTACATGCATTCTAGGGGGTGTGAAGTCCTGTTCCTCATGCTTACACGGCAAGCACTTTAACCACTCAGCCTTCTTGATGTTTGTTCACACATCTCCAAGAACAGTGTCACACAGCCGCTCTCATGGGGCCCGGGGTGGCTTCAAACCCCCATGCAGTTGAGGATGACCTTCCACTTCAAATCCCCTTGCCTCTACCTACCTCCCAAGTGTTGGGATTCTTATTGGACTCTATTGAACTCGGGGCCTCACGTATGCTAAGCAAGCATTCCACTATGTTCTACTCCTACCTCTTCTCCTAGCCTCAGGGTCTCTACACCTGCTGTGTTCTCTAAAGACTGTCTTCTCCCTAGGGGCTCTAAATTCCTGTTTTAATCCCTCAGGTCTCAGCTTGGGGACTCACCTCCAGCCAAGGCCTCTCCCTCAACCCACAGACCTTCAACCTGTGTGTATGTTTGTGTGTTGTGTATGAGTACAGGAAGGCATGTTTGAGCACAGACCTTCAATCTTTGTGTATGTTTGTGTGTTGTGTATGAGCACAGGAAGGCGTGAGTGTTGTGTCTGAGTACAGGAAGGCATGTTGGAGATACATTCTCCCTGATGCTTTCCTCTTGTGTAAACCAGACTCGCTGGCCAGTAAGTTCCCGGGGATTCTGTCTCCACCTCCCAACTTCCCCTAGGAACACTGGAATTACAGAAATGAGCTACTACACCTAGCTTTATGTGGGTTCTGGGGATTTGAACTCAGACCCATGTGTTTGTATAGCAAGCACTTACACACTTCCAGCTCCTATGACCACTCTTGACCCCCAAGTGTTGCGCTGCACACACACCTCTCCTTCAACATTTCCTTCGGTGATGTTTAGTGTTAACGCTCAATTTGACAGAATCTGGAGTCCTGGGACAGGAGTCTCAAGGAAGGACTGTCCAGATCAGGTGGCCTGTGGACCTGCCTGTGTTACCTGAGTTGAGAAGACTCTGGGAGCTCGGGTGGCTCCTCTCACAGGCCGGCCTGGGCAAAGGAGAGCCATGCACACTGGTGTTGCTTACTTTCCACTTCTGGACCGTGACACTGTGGCACCAGCTAACGTGCTTAAGACGGACAGTCCTGCCATGAGGCTTCACTGCGGTGATGGCGTGTGACCTGGAACTGGGAGTCGTAACGTCTTTCCTATTTAAGTTGCTTTTGTCAAGGTATTTTACCACAGCAAACAGGACAGGAACTAAGACACTCTATAATGTTCCAACAACTGGCCTGTTTGGAGATCACAAGGACATTATCAACTGTGAGCTGGTGACTGGGAAGGCCTAGCACCTGACAACCTCTGAGCATACCAGAAGTGTTCAAAGAAATGCTTAGTGATCTGAGCTTGGTGGCAGATGCCTGTAACCCTAGCACCCAAAGGAGGCTAAGACAGGAGATTCTAAGCCAGCCTTGAGTCAGCTGGGACTATAATAGGTAGGTAGACAGGTAGATGATTGATAGACAGATAGACAGACAGACAGACAGATAGATAGTAGATAGACAGATAGATAGTAGATGATACAGAAAATAGACAGATGGATGATAGAAAGAAAAAGCTAGTGAGATGGTTCAGCAGGTAAAGAAAGGTACTTACCAAGTCTGACAAATTGAGCTCTATCCCAGGTCCCACATGGGGAAAAGAGATAACTAACTTGTGGATGTTGTCCTCTGACCCACTGAGCCACACACATGTAATTAAATTTTGTTTGTTTGGTTGGTTTTTCGAGACTGGGTTTCTCTGTAGCTTTGGATCTGTCTTGGAACTAGCTCTTGTAGACTAGGCTGGCCTCGAACTCACAGAGCTCCACCTGCCTCTTCCTCCCAAGCGCTGGGATTAAAGGCATGCACCATCACCGCCCAGCATGTAATTAATTTTTAAAATATTTTTAAGGGGCTGGAGAGATAGTTCAGTGGTTAAAAGCACTGACTGCTCTTACAGAGGACCTGGGTTTGATTCCCAGCACCCACATGGCAGCTCACAACTTCTGTAACTCCAGTTCCAGGGAACCCAACACCCATGGCAAAACATCAATGCACATAAAATATATTTAAAAAATTTTAAGAAGAAAATAAATTGGGCGGTGGTGGCACACACCTTGAATTGCAGCACTTGGGAGGCAGAGGCAGGTAGATCTCTTAGTTTGAGGTCAGTGTGGTCTACAGAGTGAGTTTCAGGACAGTCAAGGATACACAGAAAGACCTGTCTCAAAAAACACAACAACAAAAATAAAAAAAGGAGAAGAAAGAAAAAGAGAGAGGGGAGAGGAAAGGAAAGGAAAGGAAAGGAAAGGAAAGGAAAGGAAAGGAAAGGAAAGGA